CAAGGATGACAATGGAAGATCACAGGAGACACCATCCATAATTCCTGAATATTCATCATTGGTCAGTTTTCACACTGAGTGACTTAGTTTTCAGTATACACTTTTACAACTGGGTGATTAATCATGTATTATAGTTTTTTCTTTTATTTTTGCTATTGTTTTAGCCTTATAAAAATAGTAACATGTTTATCTTTAATTTATTATTATATTTTTAACATATTCTTCCATTTATGAATGTGATATAAAAGCGCCCCCTTCAATAAATTTGTTGGAGTAAAAACATTTAATGCATTTAGACAAAACTAATTACGTGATATGCAGAGATGGATGATCACCTGAGAAGGACAGAGGAAGCATTCATATTTTCATGGGGAAATAAAAGGGAGATTTAACTGAGGAGCAGAGACAAACTAGAAGGCATGAATGTCTAGAATACAGAAGCCAACAAACAGCCAGAGGGTTATATAAACCCTTTGGATGAGACATCCTTGACCACAAGGTTTTGTAGTAGAGTTGCAAGGTCAAAGGCAAGGATGGCTCAAGTCCAAGGTTGGATAGTCAGTTGCTGACCTGGCAGCCTGAAAAAAACTGTTATTTTCATGATCTAGTGGCTGCCTCTGTACAATGTCATGATCTGTTAGAGTCTTGGGATCTTCAGACTAAAAATCACAACATCCTTTCCTTCGTCTCTAAGCATTTTATTATTGGGTGCAGCTAAGGCTTTCTGACAACTCTCACAATGTAAAAGAAAAAGCACAACGGCATTAAAATAAACACATACAAGGCTTCAAAACTTTAGCATATGTCTGGAGTGCATTGGAAGCTGCCTTATAATTTTAGATTCTCACTCTATGGTGAGCCATAGAGCATGGTGTGTGAACTAGCTCCTCATCTGGAACTACCTTCGACTTAAACTCTTCCTAGAAAAGATTAACAAAAGCAAGTGGTGGATTCCAAGTGAGTGGAGTGTTCTCCACCTCAGTCCACTCTAAGTAATCACAGAACTAACAAGCAAAACTGGAGGATAGGTCAGTGCTACATTGCTTGTTTTTGCATAAAGCCTGTTTTAACATGTCCTGTCCTTACATCCATTAAAATTAACGAGCATGAACTGGCTTGTGGGAAGTTGTTTGAAGCCTCCAGAGACATCTATGCTGCCATGTTCTGCCAACTTCTTAGGACTTCATGTTGCTTCTTAGAATGTTGATTTCCACATAGAAAAATCCAAGGGGGAAATGGTAATCCTATATCAACTGCTTCCATGTAAACACAGAGAGAAGTGTCCCTCCAGCTCATGTGACAAAGGGACATTGGAATTATTGGGTAGACCTAAGGTCTGGTATGGGGTTTGATAGAATGAACTTCGCTGACCACTGCTACAAAGTCATTATACAGTAGGAACAGTATCAGCAGCTGCAGCAGGAACAGGCAAGTTCTAGATGGGGGCCTCTTCTTTTTGCTTGATTCTCAAATGGTGCTGAGATTTAACATGTACTGAACATAATCCATTCCTATGTTTTATGTTTTCTTAAGAAAACTCACAACAGTTTTCATAAGCCAAATGCCAGGAATGTTTGCCAGGTTTCAAAGGCCAGCCAACTAGGGCAAAGACAACATCATTAATAAATGTATATATGTGTTGCTAAATAGTTGGGCACTGCCCTGACTTGTTAGGACAACATTGATATTGCTCCATGTGGGCAGAGATGCAGGGAGGGGGTTTTACCTTTCCTCTAAAGAGCAAATGTCTTTCCTGATAAGAGGGAGGACCTCAACATCTGGTCAATATTTGTCAGGGTTGATCATTCACTTGAACTGATTCTGATTCTCTCACTAAGTGCTCACCCTCAGGATAGGGCTCAACATCCTGCCAGTTAGCAAATGAATGCTAACAGACATCCCTTTTTGAATTTTCGGTTTCCAGAAATGTCATCAAATACATTGGAGGAAGAACTCATGATCTCTGAGGATTGTGTGTTGAATATTGGTACAGAGCTCTATTTTTGTTATTGGCATTTGTCTGATCTGAACAAGAGTACACTTGCCAATCGACCATGGTGAAAGGAAGACAATCTGCCTCTTCTACCCACCTCTTTTTAAGCCTTCAGCCCTGCCCCTTGGTAATATATAAGAGTCACCCCCAACTTTTGGCCAGGTGAATTGATATGGAAATTGTTTAAAAGATTATGTATTTTTTTCTCATAATAAAGCTGTCTGTTGCCAGTTAGGACATCTTCCTAGTACCTTAAGAATGAGAAGTAGCTAGCAGCTACCACAGAGTGGAAGTTGGCTGTCTCGGGTTGTGTTCCTGCCTTCGAGTTGGACCTTCTGTAGGATGTTAAGCATCCCATACTCAAGGCTCAGCCTTAGATTCTGCTGAGCAGTTTTGATGCTAGTCCACTGGGCTGCCAGAGATAGATATATTACAGACTAGATGGATACACAAGAGATACTGATTTTCTCACCTTTGTGGAATCTGGCTGTCCAAGATCAAGAGGCAAACAGGGTTGGTTTTTTTTTTTTTTTGGATAGAGTAGAGTGCCTTTTCCTTGCCTCCACACATGGTAGGCCTCCTATACACATTTACCCTTGATGTCCTGTATGTTTAGATTTTCTTTTATGATGTGATAGCACCAGTCATATTGGATTAGGGTCTGTGTCAAAATTTTGTGTTGTTGTTATAACTGCTTTAAAGAGTTTATATCCAACTGCAGTCACATTACAATGTTTGGGGATAAAGCTTCAGCATATAAATTCTAAAGGATACTAACTTTCATTCATAGCAAACACAAGGATAAGGTAATTAAGGAACTTTGGACGAAGTGTCTTTGGGTTTCTTCAAAAGCATCTTTGAGATAAGTATTCAAGTACTAGAAGTCTGTTTTTGTACTGGCTGGTTTTGTGTGTCAACTTGACACAAGCTAGAGTTATCACAGAGAAAGGAGCCTCCCTTGAAGAAATGCCTACATGAGATTCAGCTTTATTTTCTCAATTAGTGATCAAAGATGAGAGGGCCCATTGTGGGTGGTGCCATCCCTAGGCTGAACGTCCTGGGTTCTACAAGAAACCAAGCTGAGCAAGTCAGAGGAAGCAAGCCAGTAAGCAGTACCTTCCATGGCCTCTGCATCAGGTCCTGCCTCCAAATTCCTGCCCTGTGTAAATTCTTTTTCTGACTTCCTTTGGTGATGGTGAATAGCAATGTGGAAGTGTAAGCTGAGTAAACTCTTTCCTTCCCAATTTGCTTCTTGGTCATGATGTTTTGTGCAGGAATAGAAACCCTGACTAAGACAAATTGGTATCAGCATAGTGGGCTATTCATGTGACATCGTGAGCAAGATTTTGGGAGAACTGTGGAAGGGACCTTGGAACTTTGAGGTAAAAAAGACATTGGTATGTTAAGAGCTCTGTGGGATGTTCTGTAGGAGCTTTGAAGATAATGTTGACTACAGGGAAAACAATGGAGGCCTGGCTTATGAAATTTCAGAAGAAAGATTAAAGACTCACATCAGGGCCTTCACTGTTTTGATTGTGAAGTTTCTGTGGTTTTGGTTAGCTGAAGAATCAGCTATGATTAACAAGACACCAGAACTACTAAATTGAAACCTTTGCATTACTCATGTTGTACCTCATGTTGGCAGCCAGACTTGGTAATTAAGAGTCAGCCAGGTGGTATTGGTTCTGAAACATGAAGGAGTAGCATCTGGTGATTGGCATTGTGATAGGCCAGGAGAGGCCATTGGCGAAGGTGCAGCCTCAATGGCAGTTAAAGGCCAGGACTGAAGGGGTCATACAGAGAAGTTGAGGGTTAGAACCATGAAAAGAGCTTATGAGAGGCTATTTGTGAAAGTTTAGTCCAGTTGCAGCAGAAGACAGCAGTATTTGGAGATGCCAGTACTATGAGATGACCATCAAGAACAGCAGCAGCAGTGGTGTACAGGCAGCTGGAGCCTCGAAGACAATGTGTGTCTAGAAAGGGCAGTGCTGGAGTGTGGGGAAAATTTAAGAAGGCCTCCACAGCGGCACAAGCTCCGGAGGGGCTTCTGCCGCCGTGGCGGGTCCCACATTAGGGAAGAAGTCCTATGGTTCCAGCGGCCTGAGGGCCTTGGCGGCAGCAGGCCTCAATAACACGAGGAAGTCCTTGGTTCCAAAAAGGTTTATTGTCATGGTGGATAATAGATGGATCTAGGCGTACCCCCAAAAACTCAGGACAGTCCCGAGTTATATAGGGAGGGAGAAAGGGGGAGGATCTGGGGGAGGCATGTTTAATTTGCTCTGCCCTCTGGCCTTCATTAGTATGTAAATCCCTAGGGCCTGAGGCCTATAGCCTGGCCTATGTGACTCTATGGAGACCGTGACTGCTTTTCAGGATCCTGGATGATGGGGGGGACCGAACTCCTGCCGGTTCTCGCGCAGAATTCCACCCAGAATCTCGGGGTTCTAGGCACCTGCTCAACCATGACCCAGGATACCCTTATGCAGTCCCACACTGGAGAAGTGACCCAAGCCCTTGGAGGAGCCTAGAAGATAGTGAGTGGACCCCAGACGTTGGATGGTTAGAGTTTGATTTTGCTTTTGATTGTGACTGTGCCCTGATAGTTTTCCCTCTTGAAGAAAGTATTTTATTGGAGCTCACAGTTAAGAGACTTTGAATTATAAAAAGGCTTTGAATTGAAAAAGATATTGGATATTTTAAAGGGATTGAAATTTTATTTTACTACTACTAGTAGAAGTAATAGTAGTAGTAGTAGAAGAATTAGTAGTCTTTAATCTTTTTTGCAGTCCAATTTTTATCCCCCTGACTGTACCTCATCCAATACTTCCTCCCTTGTCTCTAAGAGGATGTCCCAACCTGGGGGGGCCACCCCCACCCTACCAGACTCCCCATTGGCTGCGGCCGCAAGTCTCTCCAGGTTTAGATGCATCTTCTCTCACTGAGGCTAGACCAGGTAGTCCTCTGCTGTATATGTGTTGGGAGCCTTTTATCAGCTGGTGTATGCTGCCTGGTTGGTGGCTCAGTGTCAGAGATCCTGGGGGTCCAGGTTAGTTGAGACTGCTGGTCTTCCTATGGGGTCATCCTTCTCCTCAGCTTCTTCCAGCTTTTCATGAATTCAACTACAGGGATCCCAGGTTTCTGTCTATTGGTTGGGTATAAGTATCTTCATCTGGCTCTTTCAGCTGTTTGTTGGGCCTCTTGGAGAGCTGCCATGGTAGGTTCCTGTCTTTAAGCACACAATAGCATCAGTAATAGTGTCAAGCCTTGGGGCCTCCCCCTGAGCTGAATCCCAATTTGGGCCTGCCACTGGACGTCCTTTTCCTCAGGCTCTTCTCCAGTTTTGTCCCTGCAGTCCTTTTAGACAGGAACAATTCTGGGTCAGTTATTGACTGGAGGATTTCAACCCCATCCATGCACTTGATGCCCTGTCTTTCTACTGGAGTTAGACTCTACAAGTTTCCTTTCCCCATTGAAGGGCATTTCATCTAAGGTCCCTCTCTTTGAATCCAGAGAGTCTCTCATCACCCGGGTCTCTGGTATATTCTAGAGGGTCCCTTCACCTTCTACTTCTTGAGGTTGCCTGTTTCCATTCTTTCTGCTGGCCCTCATGGCTTCAGTCCTCTTCCCCTCTACCCCTCCTTGTTCCCTCACCCAGATCCCTCCTTCCCTTTTCCCTTCTGTGATTGCTTTCTTCTCCCTTCAAAGGAGCCATCCTTACTTGGGTCCTTTGTCTTGTTAGGCTTCTTGAGTTCTGTGGATTGTATCCTGACTATTCTGTATTTTTTTTTTTTTGACTAATACCCACCTATTAGTGAGTACGTACCATGCATGTCCTTTTGGGTCTGAGTTACCTCACTCAGGTGACAGCACTTGTTGGCGAGGATGTGGAGAAAAAGGAACACTCTTATATTGTTGGTGGAGTTGCAAATTGGTAAAACAAATCTGGAAATCAATCTGGAGGTTTCTCAGAAAATTTGAAATAGATCTACCTGAAGACCTAGCTATACCACTCTTGGGCATACACCCAAAAGATGCCCCAACATGCCAGAGGGGCATGTATTCCACTATGTTCACAGCAGCCTTATTTGTGATAGCCAGAAGCCAGAAACAGTCCACATGTCCCACAGCAAAAGAATGGATACAGAAAATGTGGTTCATTTTCACAGTGGACTACTACTCAGCTATTAAGAATGAGGACATCATGAGTTTTGCAGACAAATGGATGGAACTAGAAAATGTCATTAAATAATTTCATTCTCCAGTAAAGTGAGTGAAAAACTGATGAATTCTGGCTTCTGAAGATGTCTCCACAAAAATCCATGCTGGGAGACCGAAAACAGGAATCATGAGAGCTTTCCTGTCACCCGGCCATTGCCTCTTTATGGAACAGGGTTCCTGTTTAGTCATCTACTCTTCTGATAGACCCACACAGCATCTATTGCCCATCCTTACTGTGATCTTGAAGGATGTAGAAAAGGTCATTAGAAATACTAGACACATACTTATTAGGGAAGGATTATGGAGATCGCAGGGAAGACACCCCAGCTGTCTCACTGTTCAGTAATATATCTGCTCAGTGTTAGTATAAGTCCGAACTCAGTGATGTCACATTCAGGTGCCAGGCGACTTCTACATCATTGCCAAGGCAACCAAGATAACACTCCCACAATTCACCTGGCTACTTCACCTTTACCTGGGAAAAAGCTACGTCATCGTCCACACAAATAGTTGGGACCTCCCCGACCTTCTTCTCTTCTCTCCTCTCGTCTCCTCTCCTCTCCTCCCCTCCCTTCCCCTCCCCTTCTCCCCTCTCCTCCCTTACTCTCCCCTTCTCCCCTCCCCTCCCCTCTTCTCCCCTCCTCCTCTCCCTTCTCCCTTCCCCTCCCCCTCCCCTCCCCTCCCCTCCCCTCCTCTCCTCTCCTCCCCTCCTTTCCTCTCCTCCCCTTCCCCCCTCCCCTCCCCTCCTCTCCTCCCCTTCCCCCTCCCCTCCCCTCCCCTCCTTTCCTCTCCTCTCCTCCCCTTCCCCCCTCCCCTCCCCTCCCCTCCTCTCCTCCCCTTCCCCCCCTCCCCTCCTCTCCTCTCATCCCCTCCCCGTCCCCTCTCCTCCTCCCTCTCCCCTCTCTTCTCTCCTCTCCTCTTCTCTCCTCTTCTTCTCTCTTCTTCTCTTTTCTCTCCTCTCCTCTCCTCTCCCCTCTCCTCCCCTCCCCTCTCTTCCTCTCCTCCCTTCCCCTCTCCTCCCCTCCCCTCCCCTCTCCTCTCTTCTCCTTGCCATTCTTTCCGTTTCTCTCCCCCGCCCCCCACCCTAAATAAACTCCCTCCCATGGAACTGGCGGCTGGTCTTCTGTGTCTGTCTAAGCTGCATGCCGTAATCTTACACTCAGTACCCTGCTAAGTTGGTTATTCCCAAACATTTGACACTAGGACACAGTGCTTGAGAATATAGTTCTATGATCATATCGGATTTTCTTGATATCAGCTGTTCATATGACATGATGTGGGCAGTCCCTCAGCTACACTGAGCCCTGATCCACTAACATGAATCACAAGGTTAATCTGAGCACTGATGCTCTACAGTCAAAACACTGTATGTCCTCAAATTAATGCAAAGATGTCTTTTTCTGGACATTTCATATAATTATACTTACACGCAGCCTTTGGCTCTTCAGTCTGGCTTCTTTCATTTATCATATCTTGAAGTTCTATCTTTGTAGTATGTTTCTATGGCTCAATAGTATTCTGTACTGTAGACTGTCAATTTTACGGATTGATTCATTGGTTGATAGAATTTATGCTTTCCCCTTTTGACGACAAGAAGTCAGTTTGCTGTTTGTGGACTAGTTTTTGTATGGTCCCTGTTTTCAATTCTATAGAACTGAAATTGCAAGTCATGTTAGAATTTGTTTATCCAGTGAAACTGACAATTCTCCCAAAACAGCCACAACATTAGGTGTATTTCTACATTTTAGCATCTTCTTCAGTTTCATTCTTTAGTGTCTTAAGGTTTTCATCATAGAAGTCTTTTTAGGCCTCCTTGGTTATATTTTTCACTAGGTAGTTTTAAAGATATTATAAATGGGATTTTTTTTCCTGGTTCTATCTCAGTGAGTTATAATTGGTATGTCAAAAATTGCTAAACCATATATATTATTAGTTTTATGTCCCTTCTCTTGTCAGCAAGATTTTACAGCCTTGCTCTTGATTTTTCTGCACCTATCTTCAGTTATTTACATGCTGTGTTACATTTATTGATTTGAATATGCTGAATTTGCCTCCCTGAGATCAAACAGCTTTGTTAATATATTTCTTTTAAACTGTTTTTAAAGTTTATCTTCTATTTATTTAATTTTTTCGCACAATGTATTTTAATGTTTCTCCCCTCTCAGCTCCTTTTCATCTCCCTATCCCCCCAGCTCTTCTCTCTCTCTCTCTCTCTTTTTCTCAAACTATTTTGAATTTCTTTTAAAATAATTTCATGTTTTTACTTTATGTGTATGAATGTACATATGTGTGTCACATGCTTGCCTCATACATGAAGGGATCTGAAGAGGGTATCAGATCCTTCCAGAGCCTGGATTATAGGTGGCATGAGTACTGGGAACTGAACCTATGACCTCTGCAAGAGCAAGAAATGCTCTTAACTGCTGAGCCATCTCTCCAGCCCCTTAACTTGTTCTTGAATTCAGTTGTGAATGTCTTGTTGAGTGTTTTATATCTATGGCCAATAAATAGATCAGTCTACTATTTTGTTATTGTCTCCTTACGTGTTTTGAGTATCAAGGCAAAAATAACTCTACAGAATGAGTTTGGTAGTGTTCCTTCCCTTTTGTTTGCAACAAAAGTGAGTAGATGACAATGAAAATGGATGAAGTTGTTTGGAAGGACAAATAATTATTTGTGGGTGTATATTGATGTAGCAACTTATGGAAATGAAAATAGAGGTTTCTCATAAGTATAGAGCAGAAGTGTATGATCCAACTAAACTGCCCTGGGATATATGTCTCAAAGACTATAAATCCTGCCAAAGTGGTATCTATAGTTCATACTTACTGCTGTAGTACTCACAGTAGCTAAGAAATTAATCAGCCCAGACACCCAAACATAGACATTTGGATGAAGAAAATAGAGGCACATTTATAAAATGGAACTTTATTCAACTATAAAAAAATGAAATCATAGCAAATAAAAATCATTCTGTTAATTAAAACTAGACTCATAAAGATAAATACCACATTTTTTCTCATACATAGTTTTAGATATTAATGTTTATATTTTTGTATGTATACTGTCAATTGGTCATGAAGCTAGAAGAGTCCATGAGAGAAAAAGAGAGATGTGTGTGTGTGTGTGTATGTGTGTGTGTGATGTGTGATGTGTGTGTTTGTGTGTGTGTGAGAGAGAAAGAGAGACAGGAAGAAGCAGAAGGAGGAGGAAGAGGAGGAAGAGAGGAAGAAGAAGGAGGAAGAGGAGGAAAGTACAAAAGGGGGCTATTAGTGTGGAAGGGATGAGCTGAGAGACACAAATGGATGGAGAAGACTAGAAAAAGACCAATAATAACAAAATTTGCTTCAATCTTCATAATAAAACCCATTACTATGGAGGCTAGCTTAAAAAGTATTAAAACAAAAATACATCATCCATTTATGTAAGAATGCCTATTCTCAAATCTCTCCTCTGAACAATTGTGAGATCCTTGACTATGTCAGTGCATGACAGAAGGCCAGACCACTTGACAGGAATCTTATAAAGATACCTTCGGCAAAAAGAAAATGATGAATGAAATGTAAGAGTGTTACCAAAATGAGATCTAAAACGCTATCAGCAAAGAGAAGCTGGGAGGTGTGCTCTGACCTCTCTGGTGATCATCAGCTGTGTGGCTGTGAGGGGCTCTGAATTCTTCCAGCTTGATGTGAAGACCCCAGACCAAAGAGTCACCTTGCTTGAAGGTGTCTGCTGAGCTGGAGCCTGGGTTTGGGAAATAAGAGCTCACAGAGGTGTGAATGCCCTGCTGAGAGATGCTTATGTAAGAAGTTGTCCAGCCAGTTTGTGGACTCCTGCAATCTAAGTGTAGAGTCCAAACAATTTAGATAAAGCAGGGTAAACTCTGAGTGGGGGTGGCTTAGTGATAGCCTGAGAAACCTGCAGAGCTCTTTGGAATAGAAAGATTGTTCTTTTCTGGTATCATACAATTGATTGAGAGGAATTTTCTGATAATCTCCAGGAGTGGGGCAGGATCTGTGTGTCCCCTTTTTCATAGGCTGGAGATCTCTCTGTCCCCCAAGCCTGTAGCTTTCTACCATGTGCCTCTATGCTCTGATCCTGGTGTCTCTTGCAGCGTTCACAGCAGGGGGTGAGTATGGAATACAAATATTCAGGTGGCGGGCGTACATATAAAAAGTTAATACCAGGTAGAGGTGGGCAGAGGTGACAAAAGTATAAAGCTGTAGCGAGCTTTGATTCCTAGCCATTTTCACTCTCTAGACAAATATCCCACCCAGACCAGCTACTGGAGTGAGTGGACATGCTGAGTCAGAGAAAAACAAACACTCTGAGACTTAATATCACATGGCAGGTACAGAAGGGCAATGAGCTAGCCCCATGTGTCACAAAAGAGGTTAGGAAATCTGTCTGTTTCCTCCTTATCTCTTCGTATACATTTTTACCTGATCATGGAAAAAAGCTTGGTAGAAAATTCGGAATCTCAGCTAAATACTTCCAAACCACTTGTCTTCAGGCAAAGTACTCAGTATGGTGAACTTGTGTCATCCTGTCTCTACAGAAGTGGTGACAGTCCTCTCCCCACTGGGTCACTGTGAAGATGTCTTAGGTGGCTCCTTCTGTAGTATTTAGAGTGGGCCTAGGTGAGAGAAGGTGAGAAAAGAGGGTAGATAAATGAGAGGGTTGATTTCAAATGAAGTGTATCAGGGCTGAGGAGCTAGATTGCAGGATAAGGCACCTGCTGTGTAAGCACCAGGACTTAAGTTTGAATTCCCAGTGTCCATGTGACATAGGTGGTAGGACTGCAATCCAAGTGCTCCAATGCCAAGATGGGAGGTAGAGACAGAAGAATGCCCAGAGGGTCCTTACTAGCTAGTCTAGTATATAAGGGACCTAGGAAAGAACAAGGGGACCATATTTTAAACCAGGTAGTGTGGGCAGGGTGTAAAGTGGTCCTCTGACCTCCACATGTGAACCACTGCATGCAAATGCCTTCACTTACACACTCACAAATGTGCGCATACATACACATACATCATACATACACACATGCTAAAATTATAGTAAAATAAAATGGAACATATTAATAGGAAATTGGAGGTGTGGTCAGGTCATCAAATTAGAGATTAAGGATGTTAAGATAATAGTCTGCTAATCTTTACTCTCAAAGGAAGGATTCACCACTGGGGTGGAGTATGACAAGAAAGGTCTATGGTCAGTTAGGAGGTAGAAGGATGGATAAACTATAGACAGATGTTTCCTTGAGGCATCTTCTGAAGAATCCTTTTTTTCCCCCCAAGATATTCTTGGTCACAGGCTATCTTAGTTGCCTTGTACATGGTTGTAAGTGACTACAGCCCATAAGACAATTGCCCAGGAGGGGAGACATGAATAAAAGAGGTATATGGGATAGCAGCTCTGGATTTGATGTACCCCAAGAGCCACAGTTCCCATATAGTGAGAAAAATAACATATGTCAATGCATCAGATGAGTAAATTAAATTCATGGTTAATACAAGACTACATATTGAATCTCAGCGTTTATCTCTGACATCTTAGCAATTGAGCTGAGATCCATAGGGCCATGCACATCACAAACACCACCTTAGCCTATCTATGATTCCTAAGTCCAGAGCTGTTGTTTGTCTACAAGAACATTGACAGCCTAGAGTTTGTATAGATTTTATCTTCTCTCTCTACATGTGGCTATATGAGAAGCCAGGAGATGAGAGTAAAGCAGAGAAAGAAACCGGGTTTGGGGTGGAGCATTTTTTTGCTGCTGGTTATGCCATTTCCATCGTGTGTGTGTGTGTGTGTGTGTGTGTGTGTGTGTGTGTGTGTGGTGTGTGTGTGTATGTGACAGAAGTTGTTTGCAAGCTCATGTTCTTCTGATGAGTGGGATCATTTGTGATTACCTAGTAAACTTTCTTGGAGAAACACTTTAAAGGAACTGAAAAGCCATTACACTGGAGATTGCTCGTGATGTCGATATGTGCACTCCACACAATGTAAGTGACAACTACTATACCTGGCCTTGTTCATAGCTCCCGCCCGAGCCAAACACTTCTTATGCTGAGAAGTCTGGTTCCTATCCACTCTAACTCAGTGGGAGGTTGATATTGGCCTGATGGAGGCTATGCCCAAATCTGCTCAGAGATTGCTCCCTTTACCTCTTCAAAGCACTCAGCATCTTCTCCAACCTATTCCCCTTATCCCAGTCCTTCTATAGGGCTGTGCTCTTGTCCTGATGTCCTATGGTAGACATCTTTAACCCCTGTTGTAGCTGTCCCTGTATTCTTGCTTTTAGCCTTTCTGTCATTCCACAGTGGCACTGGCAGAGTGGTCGCACACGTTGCTGCCATGTACACTTAACTTCACTCACCTCTTATCAACTTTCGTTGCAGAGAGTTTGTGTCCTAGAACGCCTCACCAGCGTCTCAGTAGGACCTGCCTCTCACTGAGCCAGAATCAGATCCTGATACTTAGTCTTCTTTTTTCCCTGTGACTTCAACATCAGGCAGGGATCAGTTCTTCCTTTCTCATTTATATCTTCATATTAATTTATGACATTTTCTCCTAGTTATAAAAACATAGACAGTGTCTAATATAAAGCAGCTCACATTGTTACCACCCACAGACATCCTAATATATAAGTTTTCCAGAAAGTTCCTTGCTAAATGACTGATAATAACTAACAACAAGGAAAAGAAGGAAGCATTGAGTTTGTTTTAGTTACACAAAGCATGGTTACAGCTTGTAACCTATTTTACATAAAGATTTTCCAGTATTAATGGCTGTTCTTCTTTTTTATAAATATAGTTTAGACTTAAAATGGGTTTTTGTCCTGATGACCTAATGTTAAGTAAAATAAAAGTCATCAAATCATAATCTGAGGATACATAACTTTCTTCCAAAAATTAACTTAATATTTTATATTAATTAGCAGGGAATAACAGTAAGAGACAACTTAAAATTTTCAGTACTTAACTTGTAGATAGCTAGCATCCCAGATCCCTGTTTTCTTCACTGTTTTCAGTATATCACTTCCAATAAAGTGGATTATTCTTCTGTTAGGTGAAATCCTGGAGTCATTTTCTACTATGCCACAAATACAGAAGGAGGTATGTTTTCTGTACAAATATGGGAGCAGTTGTAAAAGTGAGAGTAAAGAAATTACTGATAAGGATGCTGAGGCACTGAGGTGGTTAACCATGTAAGTGCAGACATGGGTGATCATGAAAAGGTGTGTACAAATGCCCTGTCTCTTGAAGGAAGGTCAGGCTGATTCTCTCAGATCCAACAATAAAGTTGGGACAGAAAAAAAGAAATAGAGAAATGAAAAATGATTGTCTACTCTGTAAAATGAGGCATATGAAAGCATATAGGATATGTAGAAGTTTATATAGATATAGTGGAATACATAAAATGTTCTACTCTGGATGATCCAACTCAGAGCCAATGGAGGAATATCCTAGAACTTAATAGTTTCCTTTACTCTGCAATTGTTCAGACTTTGTATTTGTCCACTGGGTAAGACCAAAGCCTGGACTTTGCGGCCATCCTTTACAAGGACCTTCTTTCTCACTGCTGTACAACTAACTGTTAACAGGGTCTGCTTGGTGGTGTGCTACTCATCCCAGCAGACCCTCTATTCTGCTCTATGTGCTATTGATGTTCTGCATGTTCTTGAATCAACATTTTCTGTATGTTCTACACCTTCCCCCATTCACTCTTGTACCTGCCATAAGCAGCAGTTCTTCTTTTGAGACAAAAATCAGAAGTGCTCATCCTTGGACACATATTTTAACTCAACATTAGGCCAAGTGTCTCCATGGTCCTTTCCTATGAGGTCAGCTTCCCGAGAGGAGTAGAGATCTCTTGTTCATCCTCTCATCCACCATGCAGCTCAGCTCTGGGATTTTTTTTTTATTATTATTTTTTTAAAGACAAGATTTGGTTGTATAGCTCTGGCTGTCCTGGAACTCTCTAGACTAGGCTAGCTGGAACTCACAGAGATATGTCTGCCTCTGCCCCTTGAGTGTTTGAATTAAATATATGTGCAACTATGATGGGACAGTACCAAGTCTTTAATGGGTACATGTTTCTAGAGAGTTTTAAGGATTATACTCCAGGTCACAAACATTGATAGTAGCCACTACTCTTTGTTTAAATGCTTTTCTTGTGTCATTCCCATTTACCCCTTCCACCAGCCCTCTAAAATAAGGTCTGTTTTCTTCATCATTATCTTATGTGAGAAGATACCAAGGCTTACAGGGCTGTGGCAGTTAATTCAAGATATCATGCTTAGAAAATGAGAACCCTATTAGAAATCCTGGTCTGAGTTTTCCTCCCTGATGTGCTCTCTTTTTCTCTTGTCCAGCAGGACACCCATCCTCAGCACCCATGGTGGACACCCTGCAAGGCAAAGTCCTGGGAAAGTATGTCAGCTTAGAAGGATTCACACAGCCTGTGGCTGTCTTCCTGGGAGTTCCCTTTGCCAAGCCCCCTCTTGGATCTCTGAGGTTTGCTCCACCACAACCTGCAGAGTCCTGGAGCTCTGTGAAGAACGCTACCTCCTACCCTCCTATGTAAGTCGCAAGGGTGGACCTGTGCCTCTTTTGGAGGAAACCTGCCTCACAGTGACATAGGAAGGGTCATGTCCTCTAACTGGCTTCTACTTTGTTCTGGAACCAGGAACATTGTGGATGACTTCAACCTCCCCATGTCCCCACTCAGCTTTGCAGAAGGTCTTTTTCTCTGTGTGCTTACAGTATATGTTTCCTCATCCC